GTTACTTATTGTGTGCTTATTTTTAATAATTTAATACATTATTACACAAAAAAATAATTATTAGCCTTCTGCTCTACACTTAAACTTTAATTACCTATGCAAAATCTTACACTCCTCTGTGTGCAAATTGTGTCTAAAAAGGTGCTTTCGAAAGATTTTCGTTCATTTACCAATAATAATAATAGCAAGATAATGCATTATCCAGCTTTGCAATGTTTCTTTTAATCAAAATTTATAGATATTAGCCGCGATTTCTTAGAGTGGGGAACCTTATTTTTTAATATCACCGAATATTAAAAAATAAGGTTATGTTCTCGAGTTTGTTCCATATTATTTACTATTTTTAATTTAGTTAAAGTCATGATGTGATGGAATCCTGGAGATAGTACCTTTTTTTAATGTTTGGGAAATGCCTTACGCATCCTTTAGCCACTGGGGTCCTGGTATGAAGAAGGTATCCGAGACTCCTCCCCCTTCACTTCATCCAGCTTTGTAGCTCTGTGAAGAGCGGTAAAATCCAGACTATACTCCTGCACTCATTGTGAGGACGGAAGTACCCTCAATGCGCGCCGAGAGTGAGGGTGATGTTGCGGCATCCGATTTGTGGGCTCCGTCGACCGGAGAGTCTCATCTCAACTCCTTCCCCCCATGATATGGCCCAATGGTCGGCCATATTCCCTGCACACGGCGCAGCGCGGCAATCTGCCGCCCGGTGCCCCTCTACCTAATCTAGTTATTTGTGGTCGGAACCGTAAGAGAGAGAGTGCACTTGCACATACTAATTCGTTAATATACTTTATGGTAGAGTGTACTCAATTGCACATGCACTTATAGCATTACAAAGAATATGTAAATATAAAACTAAACACGACATCTTTTTATTATTATTTTGTGACAATTTCTCAATTTTTAGTAGAAATACAAGTTCTAATTTTTGCTTGTTAAAACACAGTTTGATTGTCGACGGCTCGCACATACTACGAAAAGTCTGACATTTTGTTAAAACCATTATGGAATTAGTGTTTTTAAACACGTTATTTTCAAACTTATTGTTTCATTTATGAAACATTTCTTAGGCTGTAAGGCAGCAGCGCCATCTCTTCGGGTTTAAATCCCGTCTGCTGCCTGGTCCACGTGGATTTTTTTTGGTAAAATTTTCTCTAGATTTAACCATCTAGCAGTTAAATGCTTAAAAAATAAAAAATATATAAGTGAAAACAAGTTTATTGTTCCTTACACCTTATAGGCAAGAGTAACAGAAATGGGAACAAACTAGTAAACCTTTGCTTTCAAAATAATCTTACAGTCCCAAACAATATATATGTTACCGGCCAAACCCGATTTCAGGACAAACTAGTTTTGCCTAGGCTAAACTGCTTCTTCCTATACGCGATAGGACTAACTAGTATAGCCTAGTCCAAACTAATTTGTCCTAAGCCCGATAGGATAAACCAGTTTAGCCTAGGCCAAAATAGTTTATCCTGATACAAATACGCATACTCTAGGATAAAGTAGTATGGCCTAGTCTAAACATTATAGTATATCTAGAAAGTCAAAATAAATAGATAAACTGAATAAAAACTCCGTAATTGGAAAAATAATATTTTTTTTTAAAACGATAATGATTCATCGTTTAAAGTTATTGATAATTAGTAATACAAACAATTATACTATAACAAATAATATGTGTTTTTTTAATAGAAGCAATAATCATATCTCAATTATTAAAATTGTTATTTAGTTTTACACGGTGTACTTTGGTGGCACTTAGAATTGCAGAGTATCATTGCCTTCTCGCCTTCTTGAATTGCAGAGTATCATTGCCATCATTGGCATCTGTTTGTGGAACATTTTTATTGCAGCTGCATCTCACAAAACAGAAGGCCTATTACTTATGTGTTCAAGTGTACCCATGCGCATAAACACTCCCTCCACTTTCTTCCAGCGTTCTTTTTACATGACGCAACCTGTAAAAGTCCTGACATGTTTGTTCAATTACTTTCGACTCTGCTAAATTGGTTTAGGGCCGTAGGGACGTAGGCCGTACTAGTTTATCCTAGAGTGTGAGTATTTATATCAGGATTAACTAGTTTGGCCTAGGCTTAACTGGTTTATCCCATCGGGCTTAGGACAAATTAGTTTGGACTAGGCTATACTAGTTAATCCTATCGCGTATAGGAAGATCTAGTTTAGCCTAGGCAAAACTAGTTTGTCCTAAAATCGGGTTTGGCCGGTAACATATACAAGAAGAATAAAAGCAGTTTGTGGTCCTGGATATCACCTGAATTAATAAATACAAAAACCAAATAGATTATATTTTGTGCAACAACTGAAAATCCTTGGAAGACTGTGTAGTAATCAGCAAACTAAATTTTAACAATAACCATAGAATGGTGAGAGTAAAACTAAAACTGTTCTCAACAAAAAAGTTGAGACATAATATAAATATACAACACGCATGTCGTCCGAACAGGATACCTATTCAAAAACTTACAACAGACACACAACAGAGACCTGCAAAATTCGATATATCAACGAACTACTTGGACACCGAACCAATTAAGACCTTCTAGACAAAATGTTCAGCAAGGAAATACCAAAGCAAAATGATCTTTATTATTATTATTATTAGTTGTGCCCTTGTACATGTTATCTTTATTTGTTTCTTAGGTTTTCACTCACATCACTCAGTCAGAATTCATCTGACGACGCAGCCTGTAAAGGCTAAGAAACGTCAATAAATAAATAAAGTTTTCGTACATTAACCCGTAAAAACTAGTTTTATTTAATGTTATCTTTAATTAAGTCGCTCCTATATTATTTTTGTGTGTACAGAATATATAAATAAATAAATAAAATAAAGGAAACAAAAATGAAATATGAGAAGAAACTTTACAACTATAAAAGGAAAGGGAAAAACTTATCAATATCAATCACAAAACTTAAGAAATACGACAGCAAATTAGAATTGATCTGAGGAGAAATAGGCTAATTGATTTAAAAGTTTGAAGAACAAATCATTAAGTCGGGAGTGACGGCATAATAAATGAAATATTATACTAGCTATACAAAGCGTTATAGTGCCATAGCTTGCCTCGATTTTCAATAACATCTTATGGACTAAAAATGAACCTTCGCAATTGAAAACACCCACTATAATACTAATCTATAAAAAGGAGATGTAATTGATGTTGGGAATTATAGACCAATAAGTTTGATTACAAATATTTATAAAAATTTTGCAAATTTATACTGTAACGCCTGATCAAAGAAGAATTATGTTGTAAAAACAAGACAATGGGCCCTTGTTCTTCACTATCGCATCTCAATATCACTATGACCGAGTTGGCCCTCTTTGCATCTTTAGAGATTGTAAAATGAACTTTAAATACTTTTCCGGAAAAAGTACCTATCCTATTTGTGTCTATAAATGACTGCTTTCGCTTACAGGCAGACCTAAATAGTTTAAACCAGTATTACACAGCAAACAATATTACAGTAAATATATCTAAATGTCAAATAATTAGCTATACGCGTCGTAAAAACCAATCTTGCATAACTACTAGTCCGATAACAGTTTGATTAATAGGGCATATGAAACGCGTGATCTAGGTGTCATACTGGACAGTAAAATGACATTTTCGAGCCATATTGACGACATCGTTAATAAGGCTCTTCGCAATTTAGAATTTCTTCTTCGAATATGTAAACAATTTAGATCAATTACAGTTTTTAAAATAGTGTATTACGCCTACGTCAGGAGTACATTAGAATATGCAAGCCCTATATGGTCTCCACTTTATTCTAAATATAAAAATAGAATTGAAAGTATTCAAAGACTATTTATCAAGCGCTTAAACTATATCAACAGAACATCTTCTAATAACAGTTACATACAAAATTGCCATGCATATAAGTTACTCACGCTAGAAGAGCGTCGCCATGTATTAGATATGATTTGGTCCGTGGGCAAATTGACTGTCCTGAACTTTTGGAAAAGTTGGCACTTCGAGTGCCATCTCGTCGCACCAGGCACACTTCTCTTTTCCACACACCCTCTCACTCCACTAATTATGCTCAAAATGCGCCACTCACACGATTATCTAATAACTATAATAAACATTTTAGTACTGCTGATCCTTTTATAGGGACAAAACATACTTTTAAGCAATCCATTGTAAAGCTCCTAACTAATGAATGACCGAGGAAAGAGCATTGTATTGATTAAGCATATTTGGCTAAATAATAAGACACGTATGGAGATCGTATGTATATTTTATTTTTTCATTATATGATATACATTGTATTCATGTTGTTTTATAAACATGTAGTGTGATATCTTAATTAATTAACATATAGACAGAAATGAAACTTTTGTTGCAAATATCTTTGAATGAACTATATAGATAGACACAAAAATGTTACGCAAGTGAATATGTTACCAGGAAAACTGTTATTGACATTAGTTTAAGAAAATATTATAAATGTAACTAGAAATAAGACAATGCTGTTGTTTTCCTGAAATAAATAAAAAAATTAAAATATAACACTTTAAAAACAACAACGCTTCTCATGCGATTAAAAGTGAAATCAAATCGAAATACATCACTATTCAGTAACTTAAAAAAATAGGAGTTTTTGGCGGGATTTCATCGAGTGCGGTTGGCGTCTTATTTTAATTTATCTTAAATTCGTTCATAGTGGATATTGTGAAATAAAATTAGTATGATTTTGTGTTACAACCATCTGCGCAATTGAAGAATTATTGGAATCTTTAAAATAAACGGTATTCTGGTCGAGTGGACCCGAGACTTCCGGACGTGAGAACTTTATTGTAGTGTTGACTACCTTACAGAAGCTTATCGAAAAAGCCAACTCGATACATTTTGTGCCAAACACTCCAAGAAACAATAGAATGCGTCAAACTGACATTCTAATGTAAAAAAAAACAGAATAATAAAACTTAAAACTAGGTTGTGTGAGCATTATTTCCTTTGCCTTCTCTGAAAAGGGAGAATCTAAAAAAAAAAGAATAATAATCTGATCTTTCTTTTGATAATCTGTGGTTCACGTGGTTGATGAAAACAAGCTGACTTGTGTGTGGGTGATTTATCTTTTTAAAATAATTTCTATAATATCTGATGTGTTTAATCCTCAGAAATTTAGAATGAAGATACAAGTGAGTTTTAGTTAAGTACAAACAAATTGCATGTTTTCATTTGATGCCTACTCAACACATTAAGCTGTTCACTTCGTTATGTTTGTAGTAGGTACGTGATTTTATAACGTCATAACTTCTAAACTCCAAAATAAATTTGAAAAATGGAACATACCGCAAGCCCTCGAAAAAAAATCAAGAGTCCTGCTCAAGATGCAGCGCCCATCAACCCTAAACTATCCATTACGTGAGTACTTTTTGTCACTGTAACTGTTTTTCGTTTCAAAACAAAACATAGTAATGGTTTCATCTAACTAAAATATTTATTGATATGCCTTAGATGTTCTAACGTTCCCGATGGATTGTTTGATGCAACTGCTGCAAAGAAACACTTTAGTAAGTTTGGCCGTCTTCAGCGAATCCGGCTGTTTCCTAAGAGGCAAATGTGCATTATTGAATATGATCAACCAACTGCTGTAGAGAGAGCAGTTCTCAATGCAGGTGCCTTTGATGGCTTCATGTTTGATGTAACTAGATCAAAAGCTAGAATGTAAGTATACTATCTTTATTTATATGTTCCATGGAACATTATTTGATTTGATTCTTATCTATTGAGCGTTTCTCTGCTCATCTAAAACATTAAATGCAGTATAATGTATATTCTATAGTATGTGTATCCTAAGTTCTGTTCTGTTCATGCTAAGTTTATGATCAATAGACACTGATTTAGTATTTAAGAATAAAAATACTACACATGAGTTTCATATTTCAAATAATTCTTGTTAATCTTCTGTAAACTTAGTATTGATACAGGTTTCTGATGAAAACAACATTATTCTAGGAGAAGGCCGAGTAAGAAGGATGATGATCCTGACTGGGTCCCTGATGCTGATGTCGAAGAGGAACTGTCAGCAATGAGTGGTGCACCTTCATATACTATTACTCGACAATGTAAGCTCAGAAAAAGAAAATGGAATATTGGTCACTTTTTTGGAATTTTTGATATCAAAAATAATTATGTATTATTTGTGTCTTTTGTAGCAAAAATGAGTCAGGGTGAAGTGAAGAAGCAGAAAGCAGTACAAAGATCTGTTAAAGCAATCAGTTCACCAATAATGAAGAAGAAAATAAAAGTTGCATACCATCCTAGCATGTAAGTAAATCAGTTAAATAATCTACTAATTATAAATATTATGCAAATAATTTTTAAAATTTTTGTTTGTTCAATTTGTTGTTTAAGATCATTAAAATTTAGTGGTTTGATTGTTGACGCTAGGTAACTAAATACATTAACTAAGTATTTCTGTTTATTATGTTAAAATTAAATAAAGATATTGCTATGATATCAGACCACTTTAATTTTAACAAGTGGTTTGGTTAAAACATTTAACTTTTGTTCACATATTCACAGATCTTTCATTTAGGTATAAATTGGTACAGGCCTTTAATTCCCTAAACGTTAATGAAAGATTATGTCAGTAACACCCTCAGTAACACAGTAGATGTGCCTTACATCTAGTCTAGTCATATCATCTTAACAATAATATTATAGTCAAAAAATTGGTTTATTGTCGTTAGCCTAATTTGAAATTATAATATAATTCCTTTATATAATGTGTCATGAAACTCCTGTAGATAATTTCATATTATTTTATTTATTACAGCACACAACCCAGCAATCAGGATACCAACATGGAATCTCAGGTTCCAGTTCCTACTATACCAACAAGCCTTAGTAATGCAGACGCTGCAGCAGAGTTACACCAACTGAGGTTGAGGGTATCATTAACACCTGATGAGCAATGGCGGACACTGGAGGCGAGAGATAAGTAAGGACATGACATGTGTATTAACACAAGTAACTTATTTTTAATTTATATATTTTGCCATCCTTTAATCATATGTTTGCCTTAACATATGATTTGATGTCATGTTGAAATCTTCCCAAATGAGGACATCTCTCTATTGAATCCTGTGTCAAGGCTCTGAATGACATGTAATCTCAGCCTGCAACTGGTTTTAAGTATCTCACAAGCTAGCTTGTTCAGATGTATTTCAAACTGATTTTTGTAGATTTTTGGTTTTTGTTAAGAACCACTATGTATAATTTTGTATCCTTTTTAATAAAGCGATTTGTTGTTCTAAACTTCAATTGGCACTAACACCATAGTAATTTATGTTATTAGCAGGATTGCTACCATGTATCTTGTTTTTTAAGATTTCCCGATTTTTTGGCACTGTTGCAAGCCTCCAATGATCATAGTCACTTTGCAACAGTGCTGAAATATCAGGGACCCGTAAAAAACCAAGGTACATGGTAACAATCCCACTAATAACATAAATACCTAAAGCAATTTGTAGAAAAGTGTATATCAGCTTTATGAAAAAAAAACATTTTATTTGTAATTTCGTAGTATTTGGTCAAGACATAATTATTTTGTTATTTTAGGATTTTAAGAGGCTGGGGAGGGGCAGGATCTCGTGTTAAAGTAGGAGGAGCCACCATAGGAACCTGTCAAGACATGTGTCCAGAAAAGGAACTGTTACACAGACAGGCAGAGCATCAGGTAAAGGAACCCTTAACAAAATGAACATTAGAATTACGCATTACTTTTGTTACACTAATGGGTTTATAGACTGACAAAAATTACTCAACTGATATCGTACCAATAAATTGTAAATGTTTTGTCAATTCAGTATGTGGTGATAATGGCTATGTCTTATGCGACAAATGATTTTGAATGGTTATATATTTATATTATTTATGACTGTGCAGTTTACTTGTCAGTGTGCAGTTTGTGGACTACTTGTTAAGTATCTGTAACAACATGCGGAGTGACTTGGATGATACCAGAAACTCCTGGCATTTAATTATCATCAGCCTATTAATGTCCCCACTGCAGGGACACAGGTCTTCTCTATGGATGGGATAGGGAGATTGGGCCATGACCGACCACATGGGTCAGTGCAGATTGGTGTGTGCTAGCGATTGCAGATGTAGCTGGGACCAACAGCATAAGTGCCCTGCAAAGCACGAAAGAGCTGTATATATTAATAACTTTTTGGTCTGTCATTATGAAAGCTGCTTAACCTCCACATTCACATATCGAACGCTCTAACCATCTATGTCATCAAGCTCTTTAGACTGGGCGCACATGTATGGCTATGATTATTTACTTGCTTTGACTATGTAGCGTCACCTTGTAAGCACTGCGATAAAAACAGGCCAGCTTTTATATACTTGTGTGCGTGACACGCAAAACAAAACACGCATAATCTTGTATTTTACACACGCGAAATGTTATTCTTTATGTCTCGGTATGACAGTCATTCAGGGCATACGATAGAAGATCAAAAGGTTCGCGGAATGATGGGAAAGATTTTTTTATCTTAACTAAAGCCTTAGGCTTAAGCCTCTGGGTGACTATGTTTGCCTACAGTGTAGACAATATAGCCCATGTGAGGTTCAACTGTACTCACCTCCCAGCCTAGATATCGTTATCTACTAGGATAGAACCGTACCCTTAGCACAAACCAATATGTTTTTACTGTCTCACAATGCTCGAGATGAAGGGGGAGATGGCAGAAATTAAATATTAAATTATTTATTATTCCTTTACAAAATATTTTCCCTTATACATTTTTCAGATCTTTAAAATAACTTATTTATACCTTCGCAAAAAAAAAAAATTTTGTCAAGCCCCTGAAAACGGGTAGAAATTGCAGACTTGACAGTGAGAAAAAAATTATGACGATGAACGTCATAATTTTTTTTGTAATCGAAGCTGTTTCCTCATTTTTAGTACTCCATTCATACTTAGTCTTAATTACGCCATACTTAGTTTTTTGGGGAATTTTGTAATGAGAAACTGAAATCACTTTGAAAATGTCAAAATGGAGTCTACATTTCATTCAACTAATGTGATGTTAGTATGCTTTTTTAAGGTGAATAATGACTACCCATAGTAATTGACTTTGTTGGTTGTTTTCATGCGTCCCTTATAATTTCGACAATCTTTTCAAACTTTTCGCGCTACTCGGCATTTTTATGTAATAATTACAACAAGAAACTCGGTAATTGGCGTGCGTATCGCTCAGCGTTGCATTGAAGATTAATAGTCCGAACCGAACGTTACGGTTTTTTTCTTTCTATAAAAATAAGAATAGTGTGCGCCTCGTTGAACATTTTGTATGTAAGGACGTGCATTCAGGTTGCCGAATCGGAATTCCTGATCAGGAAACCGTACATATGCGCCCAGCCTTATTTTACGTTTAAATAGCAATTGGGATTGTTCTAGAGTTTATTTCTATGTTTATCCATATTCAGGTGATGAACCTAGAAACGTTGCCTGAGCACGAAGGCCAACTTGAACGTTGGCGCGCGGTGAAGCAGTACAGCCGCAGCTCGGCCGACCAAGAGATACCCATGTGCTACGAGCTGCGGCCCGCGCCCGTCCTGATGCGGACCTGCGCCTACTTGCTGCACGAGATCGCCGACACCACCAGACAGGTCACTATAAATATATCTGTTACAATTTGGAGCTCTATTTTGAATCATTCGACATAATTAAATCCGTATTTTTGAATCGAGTGCAACAAATGGGTGAGACCACTCGTTGCATGGCGAATGGTGGAGGCGAATGATAGAATAATTGTCATATTTGTGTCAGACGTCACGTTAATGTCAAACTTAATCACCTTTTGCAGTTTTTCGTTGTTTACTGTGCTATTTTTTGAAATTATGACCATTTTTTGAGACCACCCTTACATTCCTAACTCCGACCGCTGATCAAGCATCCCGCACATAAGATTACTTTGGCTAGACACACGGACACCGATATTAGAACATGAATCTAGAAGAATTTCGACATCTTATTCTTTCGATTTATTAAGATTTCTTGTGTGATTGTATTTAAACACTAAGTAAAGTTAAACTATTTGAAACTGTTTTGAAATGACCGACGGTGTTGTGATGTTTAAATGTTTCTAATGCTGGCACTTCACTCATTTTGCTATTAAAAACTATAATCTATCCTTGTCATGCTTTATATGAAACGACAAGGGCAGACTGATGTCAAGAGCTTCTTCTTTTATAATGACATGACGGCTAATGCATGTCAAGTACACAAATAGCAATCACGAACAGCTAAGTGATGTGCCGGCATGATAAACAACAAAATACAATTGTATTATACAGCCATGTACTTTTTCGTTCCGTTTTCATTACTGGTTTTTATTTTTTCTGCCTGAAATGAATAAAATTTTATATTTCGTATTAAACTGGTAACATCGGTGACGAACGATTCAAAAATACAGAAAATCAGTATCATGCGGCTTGAAAGTCGAAGGAGACTCAAGTCGCATTCGACGCTACTATGTCAGGAGAGTGATTCAAAACTTAGAGCTCCTGGTGATGAACCTAGGAGCTTTGCCCGAACACTGAGGCCAATCGCTTAACGGGATTGCTATGGCTAACGCTATCGCTTACTGTTTATTTTATTATTTTTGACTGCTGCGGCCTGCGGCCGTCCTGATGCGGACCTGCGCCTACTTGCTGCACGAGATCGTCGGCACCACCAGACCTATGAACCTATATTAAACTTCCTCGCAGACAAAAGGGTTTTTCAAGTTGATTGGTGACAATTCACCTAAAAACCCGATATATCGATTTGCCATTTGATAGAAATTTCGAAATTGCTGTGACATTAGATCTAAATTTCTATAAATCAGTTTTCAATAGATCACTGTAATATTAGTTCGACATTTCAATAAATAGATTTTCAATGGGTTCATTTCAATTAACAGGTAACAATACAAGTGTTGACAATTTGACATATATGTAATTAGTTTTTGATCTATTGGCATAACAAGCTATTGATCTATCGATTATTTGTCATTCGATCAAATGGCATGTCGATATATTGGGTTTTTGGTTAATTGTCACTAATCAACTGGCATTCGCAATTGCGTAGAAAACCTGAGACAAAAGGTTAACAAACCATAAAAAAGTTTTTCAATATGTGGAATTTTACATACATATAAAATCATAATTAAAAGAGGTGACATTAAAAAGACCTACACTTTAGCTATTCCCAAAACTTGAACGCATTATAGTACTATAAATTGAAGATTGTGATAAAGCAAATAATTCACTTGTTTGTTGTTTTGTTTTTTTTTGGTTCCACCGTTTATTGTTTTTTTTTTGGTTCCACCGGCCATCTTTACTCTCGATAAAAAAGTTTAAGAAATATTGGTTTATTAGTTAACCTTTCTTAACAATACAACGAGACCATACATTAACGTTTCTCAGTCAATATAATTCATAAACGCTTTTTAGAATGGATTGGGTTCGGTTAGTCCTTTTTTCACCCTAAGACAATGCTTAAGGTTGGAGGTATCCCTAAGCACTTAATAAGAATCCCTCAGATACAATCCCGACTGCGGGTTGAAGTGAGGTTATTATATCCTTGTATTGAACCACTTGAACTTTGAACTGGAAATAGTAATTAATTAAACTTTTAACTCCATCTCCAGGTGTCATTGGCTGATTGGTTTCATTTTATGTGGGATCGTCTTAGAAGTATACGGAAAGATATTACACAGCAGGCTCTGTGCTGTGCAGGTAACTAATTTTGATTCAAATCTTGTACCAACACCTTATTTTGAATAGCAGATAGTCATCTATCTATTTAAAATTCCCGATAAAGAAATAAATTGAATTCAGCACCCCAAGCACGAAAGTTGTATCGCATTGTTAAAGTTTTTATGAAACATAGCAGAAGGAGTAACTGGTGTAGGGGCCTCCCGGACGTACGAACAAACTGACTCCTTCTATAGAAAATTTGACAAAAGCGATATGATTACTGTAGCGTCAGCGAGGACTTTAAATCTAGAACACGCAGCTCTCAATTTATAGCTGACGCACATAAATATTAGTTAGGAAAATTAGTACATAAAATGTAAACAAACATAAATATTGCTCTTAATTATGTTCTACTGCCTGGTCCGCGTGATTTTTTTTTCTAGTTAACATTGCTCTTAGTTATCAAGCCACACACTGGCTGTTTGATTCCTCATCTCCCCTCACTAGGAGCCAAAATAGGGAAGATGCATACATAATATTTATGAAAATTTTATGATTAAAATGTTAAAAAAATATAAAAGAAATGCCATTGCAACGTTTTTATTTTACATAATGTTGTTTTTTAACAATTATTACTAATTAAAAATACTTGAAACGGAACGTATTTTAAAACACCAATCAGCGTTTAGTGACGTCACTCCTGTTAGGACAACTTCTTTGAGGTTATGGTTGTTAAATTAAATATTATTTTATGGGAATATTTAATGCGTTTTTTTACATTTAATAAAAATGGAAGTTGCGTTTATCAAAGCAGACTCCAGGAATTTACCAAGAGTTAGCGTTGACATGGTTATAACTTTTTTGTCCAAAGTGCAGAGTTTTTAAGTGTAGAAATGAAAGGGACTAAATTACTACGGTATGTAAAAATCATAGTTGTTAAACTTTGTATTTTATTCAGCGGCTTCTACAAATCTTACGGCGATAATGCAATCGGCTATGTCCAAATTAAAAGAGATGGAGAATTATGTACAGTAAAAGGTCGAGTTCTCCGGAGCATAAAGTACATAAAGAAGGTTATCGTGTTACAATTATTTTAAATGAAACGCAAAGCTTGGTTCAGTCCTGCCAATGTGAAGATTGTGCCACACATTTTAAACTTTATCTAATTTTCGACGTCATTCTCCAACTGTAAAATTAAAAATATATTATAGACAGGGGTTTGTAAGTATTAGGTAGGTTACTAATGCGTTTTTACGTACAAGCAGATTAATTAAGCATATAACAAGTATATTCGCCGACTTACGTCAAAGTGATCTTCTCAGCATCGAATAATGGTCTTTGGAGAATAATTGTCATTTCTCTTCGCAGCTTGAAACCACTTTTTTTTTCAGTTTTGGGTCAGAAGTTCCAGTCAAAAACAATTTATTTGGGAACTTTGTTGAAGTAGATTGGCACAAAACATGAGTCAACACGGCTTTTTTCGGAATATTAGTGGTATTGTTATGATCACATGATGTTGATGGATTTTTCTTAATTCTTTTTTAAATTTTTCAAAAAAATATTTCGAAAGTCGAAAAAATATGCAAAAGTATGAAAATTTAAAGCCAGCAAAGAAGAAGTACGACCAGTGACAGACAGGAGTGACGTCATCGCAACCATAGGTTCGTTTTCGCGCGAAAATTTAAATTGTCAATTTAAAACCGCATTTCTTCCGATAAGTCACAATGTTTTAATTTTTTAATATATCTGTGGTTTATTCTACATGGAATTCTTTAAAATGAAAACAAAAATAAAAATATTGCATCTTCCCTATTACGGATCTGTCAAAGTTCATGATTGCAGAATTAATTTCTGATCAACCCAATACATAATTAAAATTTGTTGTTTTAGAATCCATTCGCCTTGTAGAAATGTGCGCTCGATTTCATGCACATTGCGCTGCGAGACTCGCAGACCTAGAACATACACAATTCGACCAGAAGTTGAACACTGACAACCTCACAAAGTGTCTGCAAACCTTGAAGCATATGTACGCAGACGTCACACCAGAACAGAAACCGAACGAGGCAGAATTCAGAGGCTACATAGCTCTGTTGAACTTGGGCGATGCAAACTTCTGGTGGGAGGTGAGAATAACAAATGCACAATTTTCCGATCAATTTACTTATCTAATTCCTACAAATATTATAAATGTGAAAATTTGTAATTTTAGTGTTTGTATGTATGCTATTTAGTCACGCAAAAACGGTTGAACGGATGTGGATGAAATTTACATACAACTTATAAACTGAAACTCTTTTCTGGTTACTTTTTATCCCATATATATTTTCCAAAATGGTTCGTGAGGGATTATCAAAAAATTTAAGTGAACGAAGTCGTGATCGCGGGCAGCTGCTAATCACACTAATATTATAAAGGCGAAAGTTTGTGAGTATGTGAGTGTGTTACTTCTTCAAGTCTAAACGGCTGGAGCGATTTTCATAAAATTTGGTATGGAGTTAGCTGACAACATGGATTAACACATAGGCTACGTTTTACTTCGGAAAAATATCCCTAATAAACCGCGGGGCACAACTATTTTTAATATAAAAATGAAAACTTATTAATCTCTTTTGGCGCAGATCAAACAACTACCTCGGGAACTTCAGAAGTCGGAACCGTTAGTGTTTGCCACGCAGATATTTAACGCTATAGACAACAATAACTATGTCAGATTCTTCAGACTCGTTCAACACAAGGCTTCCTATCTGCAAGCGTGCATTCTATTGCGATATTTTAACGACGTTCGTGCAAGGGCTCTCGCTAGGATCGTGAAGGCCTACGCCCCTAGAGGCGGCTCGAGATTCCCCGCCGAAGATTTGATGGACGCTCTTGCTTTTGAATCGATTGAAAATATGAACTGTTTCATCAATCACTATGGCCTAAGGTTTGCCAAAACGGATGATGCTGAACTAACAATCATCCTTGACAGAAATCAATTTATAGAAGATAGCGATCCATATCCTATTGCGAGAGCTATATCACTTATTGAATCTAAACGAAGAAGCACCGTTGGCGAAGTAATCGCAGGTGGTCCTTTGCCGAATCCCGACTTTAGGAATCACGTCTTGTATACTAGTTTTAATAAAGATGGCAGATTGAAAGAATCTGCTTTGCTTGCTGAGGACCAAGGTTATGATACAAAAAATGATAGCTACAAAGATGTTCAAGCATTGAGAGCGGAAATAAATAAACTTGTACAAGGTGAAAAAGATTCTATTACACCAAATAAATTGGAGCAAAAGACAAACCTATTTGTAAAACCAGAATTGAAGACCTTGAGTCCTAGTGAGCCACCTAATACATTTGCAATGTCTATGAGTGAACATAAGCAATTTTCTTTCAAACCAGCTATACCAGTCGCATCTACAGAAATAATAAAAAATTCGCCTGAGAGAATATTCGGTAGTGATTGCAAAAATGTATTTTCGTTTTCAAAGCCTCAAGAGACTTTACGTTCTGGTGTGTTCCCCATGAAGAATACTGGAATATTATTTAAAAGTCCTAGTGAGCAAGCAGTATTTGATACAAAAGTGGACAGCAAAAACATTTTCAGCAAAAATGATGAAAATAAGGATCCATTTAAGACTGGCCAAACTTTATTTAGTAAACCTGAGGGGACAAGCGTATTTAAACAAAATACCATTGGGAAAGTTGAAAACACCAATTTATTTAAATCTCCAGATTTTGGTAAATCTGACACCCTAAATATATTTAAACAGCAAGAGCCGCAAAAATCGGAAGGTACGAATATATTCAAGCAGCAAGAGATTGCGAAGAACGTTTTTTCTTCATTTGAAACTCAAAATAAAGCTAGTGACAACATTTTTGCACATGCAAAAGATAATATTACTTTTGCTAAACCTGATAGTACTGTGAAATCTAGTAGTACTAATAATATTTTTGGTAGACCTACACTTGAATCTGAGATAGCATCATCTAATATATTTGGCGTATTCAATAAACAACCAGAGAATAGACAACAAGATATTTTTTCACAAAAACCTACTGCTGGCTTAGTAGGAAATTCCATATTTGCTCCTCCGAATGGAGAGGTCGCTAACAATAAATTGTCACCTGGAAGTTTATTCAAAAATGCTGTGATACCACAGAATGGCCCTGACAGTATGCCTTATTCAATATTTCAACGCAAAAACAGAGGTCAGTCAGTAGCTGATAATATATTTAATTCGGTTGGCGACAGGGGGTCTGTGTACGACTTTAATGCAAGCGAAGAAGATACAAAGAATATTGTTGAACAACGTTACAACGATGAGAAAGTCAAACAAGAACAGATAAAGTTACAAGAACAAATTAAAAGAGAAGAAGAAGAGAGAAAAAAAGCCATGATTCGGCAAGAGGAAGAACGGCGTATATTAGAAATACTTAAAAGAGAAGAAGAAGAAAAGAAACGGAAAGAAGAAGAACGTCGTAAGGAAGAAGAGCTAAAGCAAATAGAAGAAAAGCGTAAACGCGAAGAAGAAAGAAAACAAGAGGAGTTAAGAAAGAAAATAGAAGAAGATAAGAAAGCTGAACTAAAAAGAAAGGCCGAAGAAGCAGAAAGAAAATTTAAGGAAAGGGTTGGTAGAGAAACCACAGAATTACTCGAAGAATTAGTTAATGAGTTGTGCACTGAAAATGTTTCAAAAACTATGGAAGAAGAGTTAGAAAAGTTTAATAATTTGATGTCATATGCTAATTCATTAACAGAAGAGATAATAACAGAATTTAATAATGAAACATGCCAACTAGAACTAAAAGCTGAACAATTTTGGGGTCAGAAACTTAGGAAGAAATGGTTCAAAGTCTGGAAAGATCAATTGATCAAAAATATTAAGAGGAGAGATCTACTGGAAAACACACCTGTGTGGTTGACCTCAAGAACTCCTCTGGAGGAGGCTCAACACTTAAGACGTATGGTTGAAAATGCTGCGTTAAAAAATATGAATGCAATACATAGGGGTTATAAATTTAACGGCGAATTGAAACTTCCTTCTATGCCTGAACCATACAATTTAATGGAAATAATAAGATCATCTCTGTTAAAACGTATGAAACAAATCAACTACCCTTATGATAAATGTTTCTTTTGGAAAATCTCCCTGGTTTCTCCTGGCACCATGAAATGGCTATACAGAAAAGTTAATATTGAGAAATGGTTATTAGATGTTTTTAGTGACAGCAAAAAACATGATGCTTCTGACAGCCTGATACATGTTAGTAAACAGTCATGGAACAGATTGATGGACTTTGCGATATCGGTCAGTTTGACTGACAAGGATAAAATTAACAAATGTGGGGAGGCTATCGAAGGAACAAATGGTCTATTGATGTACTCCACTGAACATGATAACAATCTAACAACAACTTTAGAATCGCTTGTCAAGTTAAAGTATTCATACCAAATTTTACCAGTAGCAATAATTGCGCCAAAATCTGAAGATTTATCCACCTATAATATTTTAGAATCCCTACTTTCTAATTTGGTAAACAATAATGCAATATCAGCATATAAAATATATATAGTGGAACCTGATAATATTTTTGAATCATTAAATCTCGCTACAAAAACAGCTTTAAAGTGGTTAGCTAAAAAGTTTCCCCAAAATCCACCAACTGAAATAGATTTGTTGAAATCTATTTGCCAAAGGTATCTTGGTAATGAAATATGGTGTAGATTTAAATCAGAAAGGGATAGTCGTATGAGTGCGGTTCTTAAAGATTTGCCGAAATTAGTTGATTGCTATAATAATGCTGTTGAAAAGCTAACTGATGTGATCACAAATGAGGATTTATTTAATTATCCCTCTTTTCCATTAGAATTTAAAGTGTATCTCGATAACGAGTCTCCCTATCCTAAACCATATGAATTTATACCATGCAATGTCAAGACGTCTGAAAATGTGTCTGCTATTAAGGACATCATGAAACAATTAAAATTACCGTGCCCTGTAACAAATTTTAATCCTATCAATGTTACCGGTATGCAGCAAGAGATCCGCAAATACTGCTACCAGATTGGTTGGTTTGAAAATCCTGAAGAGGTTACTTGTAGAGTTGTTGCATTATTACCCAATGAGTTTTCGGATTTAGACATGCCTAGTGATCAATTTAGTCAATATTTTGCCCGTTATGATCTTATAGACATTTTAAATATAATAGTTTACGAAAAGATTAGTAGATTAAATAACTTTGACAACAGATATGCCATTTATGAGAAATCAGTTTTGGAAGATTACAGAAATATAGATTGGTTGTATAATACTAATGTTCTATCCAAAATTAAGCATAAAGCTATCGAAAACGGTGATGATGAATTGGATTTTTTTATTGAAGCTAAAAGACGCAAAATTGCGATGGATTCAATTGAATATTTAATGATAGAAGATAAGGATAGTACTATGGTTGAAGAAAATATTAAAGCTACTGATGATAGCATATCCAGATATAATAGTTGTTCCGAGGCTGTTAAACAGCTCGAAGAGCAAATAGAAAACGAAAAACAGAAATCTTTAGAGCTAGAAAACTTGTTGAAACTTGCACTGTCTGATGTATAGTTTGTTTTAGAAGAGTTAATAAAGTATTTTTGTATGTACAAATTATGTTAATAAATTGGAATGTACCATGTTTCAAATATCTTTTATTTCTGAATATCTGACAGAGATAACTAAAATAACGACATCCTTGGCGTTGTCATTCAAGGCTGCTGTGCTTCTTGAATAAACTTAGTTTTCAATGCAGAATTTGCGGAAAATTAGATATCCGAAATACAATGGAATTAAAATTCGATCTGGCTCCTCTACACTATCAGCGATTACAGACGAGTAGGCCTGAAGACAATCGTATAAAGGCATGCTCGGCTTTGCTTTACTCTCGGCTCATCGTCTATGATCGCCTGCGCGGGCATGTATCAAAGGGTGGTTGTGTTGATGGCCCCCACGTTCTCTGACCTTACATTTGCCGCAAAACTGAAGCGTTGTGCACATGCGTGTAAAAAGCCGATGCAGTAAATATGGCTAGTACGGTCAAATGTCTACATTCACCTTATTCAGACATGTTCAGAAAAGTTGAACTATTTTCTATTACAATGAATGGTTAAACACCACCATCTTCTTTTCTTCAAACATTTTGCAACTTTTCTTTGAAGCACATTAACATAATGCAACCATTATATCATACAACTATGACGCTGTTAAATAAAGCTCCCTAACTACCTGCGCCAGGTTATCGCGTTCTTCCTGCGATGGAAATTATACAACAATTTTCGTACATTGTATGGGTGACCAAATACTTATTATCGGGAGCTCCGCCGTTCTTCGGATGACACGTTAAGCCGTTAACAGTACATTGTAGCGTGCCGTTGGTCTCGGCTGCATCTGCAGTCGTTAGCATAGCACCCACCAATCCGCGCTGTCAAAAGTAAACAAACGTACTTTTGAAGTCGGATAAAATGGTCTCAAGTCTTAACAAACAGATGAGGTCTACATTCCGATGCTCTCGAGTACATATCTAAAACCCTGAAAGCTTCCAACCCGGACTATAACAAAAGCTTCGTTTGGCTTAAAGATTGCGCTTCTGTGGACTATAAACATTACAGGAAAGAAGAAACTGTAACTGTCCCAAGATAAGGAGTCCAAATTCTGCAAGAAACAGCCCATAGAACTAATGGGTGAGGCATCTTACCTGCGAATTTGTACGCAATCTCCAAGTCACAGTCACGTGACTTTAGGTACTACTAAAAGAATTAAAGATGCCATACAAAATGACAAAGATTTATCACGAGATATCTGTCTTATCAGCCGGAGTCAGCAGAGGCGGCTGGGTATCGAAAACGGTAGTCTCACTCATTTCCTCGAAACCTGAGATTTTGAAGGAGGTCGCAATAGCTTCTCATCTTAGAAAGACCCCAGAGCCAAATAAATACTACCTACTGAAGATATACCAGACGTCAGCCTAAATGAAATTATTATTGCTCTCACACAACTTAAGAAAACAAAGCACCAGGGATTGACGAACCCCACCTAGGTATATGCTCTGAGACCCCAGCAGAACTTAAAGTACAAAGTAGGTACATAATATATATGTTATGGGCCAAGTGATTAATGCGGGCAGTATTCATAATGCCAGGACAGTATGGATAATGCCCAGCCATATCAGGCCAAGTGATTAATTACAATCTAAACTCACCTATTAATCATATTGCCCGGCCATTATTAATAATGCCGGACGGCTCGTGGTCCATGTAATAAGTCAGTGATTAGAAAGCTTGAATTTATCGCTTGGACCGGGAAGTATGAATAAATTCAAAACGTTGGTACTATTGTCAAAATGACAGATGTCTCGCCATTTTGTGTTTGTTTTGAGATTTTGGTAAATAAAAATAGTATGGGCTCAACACTTAGAAAAAAAGTAAATGTGGCTTTACAACAGTTTTTAATTCAGAACCGACTTGGTCAACCCCGACACGCCGTGGTCTTGGTCTGCCCTACCTCTAGAGTGTTTGTTAGAGCCTGGAGGGGCGGAGGGAGAGCAGCCCCCACCTGCTGTGACAATAGCCGCAAGCATCGTGCGACTGAGGCTGGTCAAGCCTCAGTCAACAAGCCGAAGGTGTGAAGGGGAGTGATGCTTGTGACTTTGTCACGCAAAGGCGGAGGGGCTGCTATTACCGCAGCGCCGGAGATAAGGCAGAAGTACTGGTTCTTACTTCCCTATTTCTTGCATCCTAAAAAATAGGGAACGATTAATTCTGAACATTTAACAGATTTAATGAATTTTTCAAACAAACTGCATTGAAACTACTATAGAATATAGTTTCTAAATGTAGCCCTTTGTAAATTGATCGAAATAAAACCGAAGTCTGAATATTTAAATTTTAAAAATTAAAACTAAACTATAAAACATGTTTTTATTATTTCTCTACCCGATAATTGATTTCATTACTTGTAATGCTCGGTCTATCTAACTAAGTATTCATTTGAAAGTATTAAACATGCTTTACATCACTCTGTCCAATAGGCACTGGGCACTATTCATAGTGCCCAGGCAATGTGTTAAATTGATTAGTTATATTCAAATTGCCCGTTCTTATTGGGCATTATTCATATTACCCGGGCATTACGAATATTGCCCGATAAATCACTATGTATATGTTATGGGCGACATATACATTTTTTTATTGTTTTAAAACTTATTACTCATCCATTTCTAAGTAGTTGTTAGATAATGAGAGGTAGGGAATAGGGGAGTTTCCCCTCGAATTGGAGCGTCTGGGGAAGTAACCTTCACCTTGCAGAAGAATATGACTAACTCTTGGTGGAGTTGTTTCTGTGATTCTAGGAGAAAAGTTGGCTATGGTGCAAGTGATATTTTTGGTATTGCAAGCCTTTATCGATAGGGTATGGTGGCGGCTTGCCATATGCTTGTTTTCCAACTTTATAACATAAAAAAGATGGGAATGACAGAATAAAATTGGACATACCGTCTTGGAATAATACAAGAGTTATTTGATAAGATAAGAGTATTTTATTATTATTGCTTTTCATTATCTGGTGCTTGTACAACACTTAAACAGGCATCAACAAATTCTGTAAATATAGGTTCCAGCATATATTCTTGCATTAATTCATCTGGATATGCTGATTTATCTAAAATCTTCAATATTTCTCTGACATGGGGATTTTCTAAGCATTTATTTACATCCACTGATTGTCCTGAAATTCATAAGGTAGTACACAATTAGTAAATAAAGTTAACTATTCTAGATAGCTAAATTTAAAAATTTCTTTTGTTTTAATAAATTGTTATTATTTAATTATTACTGGGCCACAGTAATTCGTAGAAGTATATCTAGATAAAATAGGTATGTGTTGTAAGCTGCCAGATACTGGTATTAATATTCAAAAATTAAATAAAACATGTACATTAAAATGCTGATTTTGGAATCTAAAAGTACTTACTTAGAAGTTCTAGTCTTTCTACAGGCACTGTGTCATCAGTAGGAAATTCATACTCTCTACTTGGTTCTGTTGGAGATTCTACATTAGGTGTTGGAGGTGCAATGCATGGATTTGATCGGTGAAGTTTACAGCAAACAACTGAACAACTGAAAAAGTTTTTAACTATGTATATCATAGTTATGCAAAGCATATGTGCAGGGACAAAATATGTGTGATAAGCATTATAAGAATTAATGTTTTAGTTATCATCACTCTAAAGTAAAACTAATAGCCAATGAGGATCCGTTAGGATTTTAGTGGAGAATGTAAATTAATAGAGCTAAGGATTTCATAAAATACAGTAGTTAAATTTTTGTTCTACGACCAATATTGACGAAGTTATGACCAAATTACTAAATGAATTTTTGGATGGCTGCGTGGTGGCTGTGAGGTCACAGAGCTTGGAAGCGAGAGTGCTCTACTGAAGTTTGACCAGAGTGAACCACGATTGAGCTCTGTGACGTCACACATTTCAGCAACTGGTGAATATTGGCTACCATAAAATTATTTTGTAAAAATCACAATGAACGAACCAATTTCGATGCTTTAAAAAGTATATTAATAAAAAAGCTTATTAGATCATTATACTGTTGATTTTGAGTTGTTTTGCTGACCTAGTAATGATCCTCATTATTACTAAGAGCCACAATGTAAAATTTTAATTTCATCCTAATAAACATCAGTTGATTGATAAGTTAATATATCGGCATATCACATACAAAGGGGCTCAACCAAAATATATGCTTAGGGCCATATGCTTTTAGCTGATTACATTGAAATTGAAAAAATAATGTTAATAACCCAACCCAACCCTACTTAACCTAAAAAGATTATTATATTCTATTTTGAAATCAATGCCTTATATCATAGAATAACATAATTTTTTGATCATTTTTATAAACAAAATGCACATTAGAGATTAGAATTTCTAGTGCATGGTATTATAATCACTATTAAGCAGTATTTTTTAACTTTATTACATGATATTTATCTGGTGTTCTTATTACAGTATACTTACTATGGTTTGCGACATATGGGGCATTTATATTTAGAGGGTTCATTACACTGTATGCAGTTATTCATTTTAATTGATTATCTAGAGATAGGAACTGCTGGAGGATTCTCAAAAATGAGAAAATTACTCTTCAAAGGATAATTCACTGGATCTAAACAAACCGAAAACAAACATAAAACATTGACTGATTGTCACTGAGTGCCCCTTTTTTTAAAATATGCTCCCTTTTTAGGGAAGGCAAGGAACACTAAAGCTCATACTGCCTCGTCTTTACTATGTTTTTCCCTTTTCTTCTTTTTATTTTTTAATATTATTTTAACATTCTCCTGTTTTATGGAAGGCAAAGGAAACAATGCCCATACAGCCTGATCTTTAGTTATTTAATAAACGCTAGAATTAATTGACCATTAGAAGTTAAGTAATTCTTTCGAAGGTAAGCGAAACATGTTCGGCTACATGGCAACCAGACTTTCCGACCTATTGTATGTAGTTGATATACTCAACTAAATAATATTTTTTTAAGTTTTATAGCATCCACCGCTCAATTAATAAAGACAAGGAACTGGCTCTTGAAATTATAATCATTAAAAGATAATGGTGGCGATACTGGCATGATTCTCTAAACCTAAACTTAAGATTGACAAGAGTGCATCCTTTTCATTCTAGAGAATGAAAAGGATGCTCTGTATTAACATTAGTCTTTCCTCTTTATTCTGTATAGATAGAGAATAAAGAGGAAAGACTGATGTTAAATTTAGTTTTAAGTTTAAAGAATCATGCCAATATCGACAACATTACATAAATAATAAGAATAATATTGATGGTAGTGATTCAATAAATACAACTGTAACGGTTCTAATATATTTATTTTTAATAAAAATTGTACTTAAGCGTTCATTTTATTCTAGAAAACATTTTTGAATCGTGTATGTACCAGTCGAGGCCACGTTCGTCGGTACATAATAATTTGGCTTTTTCAGTGTTGGCAATACTAGCTTCATAATAATCAGGAGTGCTTTTTTACTAATGTTAGTGTCGTGGACTCGAATGTACATTTATTTTCTTAGACAAATTACTTTTAATTAAACTAATATTACAACAAGATAATTTATTTCTCCTGACCTATCAAAGCAGTCTGAGGTAAGTAGGTATTCTATGTATGATAAAAAAAGAAAAAGATTACTTCTATTTCACCACCATAGACTTAGGTAAGGTGATCAGTAGAACAGATGGGAAACACTACTAAGTTTAGTATTGAAGTCTTTAATCGTCAATCTTATATCAAACTAGATAAAGTGCAGTTTTTGGATAACTGATCAGTGGCAGTCTCATCATCAGAATAGCAAATTAACTGCCGCGGACAAAAAATTAGGTAAACGGTAATCAGACAAAACATTGTTGGAACGGTAAGGTGGGATAATCACTAATTTCTGATTAGTTCGATTAATTTAGCTAATATGCTATTCTTAACTTAATTACACAATTACCCTAACATCGTGGCTGGCAGGTCTATAACACCATCATCTATCTATCCTGGTTGGCGGGTGAACTACAAACGGCTTCAAAATTTCTACCGAGTAGCCAACAACGTCACTTCTTCGATTGTCATCAGACGCAGACAACTGATATAAAATGCCAAGTTAGATGATTACTTGGAGGCTTCGAATTAGTTTTTCAAGGCTGTAGTGACACACAAATGGGGGTTATTAGGAACCTGGTCATCATCTGTGTCGTCATTTAAAGTAGGTGTTGGAAGACTTTCCATTCACATTAATAAGTACATTACCTACAGCATATGCGCTAGGCCTGCGCAGACGAGGGAGTTTTGCCCGCGGACTTTTTTGTCCGCCTTTATAGATCGCTTACAACTGCATCGAGTAACTACGGTCATGTACACAGACAGTTTGAAGCTGGCAGCGTGACAGCGCGGTGAAATGGCAGCTTCAAGCTGTTGACTCTGACTGCTCGAGCAGTCTGTATGTCTTCATCAATGGCTAACTGCTCTAACCTATGAAATGCTGAAGTGCTTAGTAGTCAAATTGACTGCTGAAGGCCTTGGTATTTTGGTGCAGCTTGCGGCTTGATTGCGGTTTAGTTACAATTCAGTGTATACAAAGACTATAACTTATGTAGTTCAGTGCTGCACGCGGGTTACAAATGTTTTCCCAGAGTACGTACAGCTTACAACAGTATATTCCAGGCCTATGCCCCATCTCTATAGATGGGTACTGGACTGAGCGTTTCTTATTCATCGGCAAAGTATAAAGAGCAAAATAGGGCGAATCAGATGAATCGACTAGTGTTCGCTGCGTAATTGCTTTTTCTTTTTCTAGAGAGCAGTCAATTTACTGCTGTTTTAAAATCGGTCTAATTGGAAAAGTTTCTATGGAAACTAAGCAGCGCCCCTACCGGACGCAAGAACAAACCTTTCATAGAAAATTTGTCGATGGTGATACGATTACGGATCTGTCAAAGTTGGTGCTTGGGGTACTGTACCTCTAGCACAATAGTTTGCGAGGGCGAAATGTCAATGTCAAATTTTGTATGGAAACTTGAACAGCAGCGCCACAAAGTACGTAACGAGAACTAAAAATCAGTACACATTTGACAATGACATTTCGGACTCGCAAACGATACGATTTCGATATTGATTCGTGCTAAGGGTTACTGTTTATGTTGGCGTATCAAAGCGTATCATAGTTGGTTATGGCGCGGAGACGCTAATGGTGCGTAGTAGTAGACGATGGCGCGCTACAGTATGTGGTGTCGCGCGGGCTAGTTGTCGGCCACGTAGACGCTGATGGCGCGTCGCGTCACAGTTGGTTATGGTGCGTAGTAGTAGTCGATGGCGCGCTACAGTTCGTGGTGTCGCGCGGGCTTGTTGTCAGCCACGTAGATGCTAATGGCGCGTCACGTTACGGTCGGTTATGGTGCGTAGTAGTAGACGATGGCGCGCTACAGTTCGCGGTGTCGCGCGGGCCTGTTGTCAGCCATGTAGACGCTAATGGCGCTTCGCGTTACAGTTGGTTATGGTGCGTAGTAGTAGACGATGGCGCGCTACAGTTCGTGGTGTCGCGTGGGCCTGTTGTCAGCCATGTAGACGCTAATGGCGCGTCGCGTTACAGTTGGTTATGGTGCGTTGTAGTAGACGATGGCGCGCTACAGTTCGTGGTGTCGCGCGGGCTTGTTATCGGCCACGTAGTAGTGCGGCGGGGGCGCGGGCACGCCGGCGTCGGCGGCCGCGAGCGCGATGTACCGCGCGCGGAGGTGGTGCGCGCTCGCTTTAGGCTGTCTCGCGCGCGTGAAGATACCCTTCTTGTTGCCCCCCACCCTGGTTATACCTATAACAAATAAAAAAACAAGTGTGCTTATGGCTAAAGTGAAACTTCGTTCGCCTCGCCGTACACACTTTTCGTAATGCGTAACGCATTCGCCAGCTTACCCCGCAAGTCAAGCGTGCGTAAAGAATTTTCACTTCAATAATATAAATATTTAACTATACTAACTAATCCGTCTAGCCTCAAATCAAGCATTGCCGTGGTATAAAGACGGATTTTAGGCGAGATAACGAGGGGAAAGACTTGCGCTAGAGAAGCTTATGCATGTAAGGCGCCAGGGTAGAGCGCAAATGATGGAGCAATTCACTTCAGCGTTTGGAGACGACCTTGGTCGCTGTCCGGAGGTCAAGGGCGGGGAGGGGTCGTTAACTTTCCGGCTGGTGCGAGTGCTTTTCGGGCATCGGTGCTTTGCAAAGTAATTGTAGAGGATCGGAAGGGAGGCAACCCCGTTGTGCCACAAGTGCGGAACTGCTGAGGACACTGTAGCACACACCCTAGAGGCGCATATACGTAGAATCAGCAGTGCCGCACTCAGGTTTGGATAGAGGGGTAGAATCTCTTTCTGACAAGTCCAAGCCATGCAGGGTAGTTACAAATGATGGCAGGCGGTGACATTACATACTTACAGAAGAAGACTGCGGAGAGGTTACGTGATTTCGTGAAGCGGAAGCTCACAGGGTCTCTCTTTACATAAGCAGGAGGGGGGCTAGGAGACAGCGTTATGTCCGTCTTCTAGTCCAGACAGAGTCCAGATTTAGGAGTTTCGGGCCTTGCATTGCAATAGCCTTAGCTGACGTCGGAGATGCCCCTAATCTCAGAATAATTACTATTTCTGAGACTCTGATGCTTTAGGGCGTCTCCAAGGCGGCTAGGTTTGTTCGAATCGGACACTCACTGGTGGGGTCACGGAAGTATATCTGTAAGGGTTCTGTGGTCTCACCCATTGCTAATGCCGGTTGGTGGATCTTGTCGTAGTCTCATGCAATGTCAAATACAGGTGGATATACCCGAACTTTCACCCGATGAGGCCATGGGTCGTCAGGTTTTTTATGGGTAGACCCCAAACATAGCTGGAGCAAATGGATGTTCATCGAGTTTTAATAATGTATAATAATTACTGAGGGCTTGAGTAGAGCTACGGACCGACTGACCTCAGGTTTATGGCGGCCTATAAAGGAGCTGTACGCGTATTCAATGTACAGCGCGTCCCGACTACGAGTAACAAAGGAACGCGCTATCCGTACGCAGCTTTAGAAGTTAAAATAGGTGATCTGTCAAGTAAGTACTTACCTTGTTTGGTTGCAAAATCAGCGAAATTCCAAATGAACTCGCCAATGAAGAAACCTGTTTGTCTTAATTTATCGAAAGCTTTGAAGTGCTCCGACATCAGCGCCACTTGGTAATCTTCGGAAAACACAAACTCTGGGAGCTGTGAACAGTGAAAGAATATTTGCATCTTTAGGCATTTTACCTAAATTGAGTTTACATAGCTTAACCTTATAATAAATGTGCTACTTCTTCTGGTATCTTACTTAATTATTGTTTTATGCTAGAAAAGACTAGACTAGACTCCCACTAGGCAAGGAGAAACTTTACTGATGATTTTAGAGACTTTTAATTTTATTTCGGAGTTCTGTGGTTGAGCTAAAGTTTACACTTATGAAATTCAGAAACTCGTCATTAATTTTAGTAAATTGGCCAAATCTTTTTAAAATTAGAGAACAACCATATATTACATTCTAAGATCTTATGAAAATAAAGTGTTGTTGAAATGTCAAGTAAGATGTTCAAACACTCACAGTATGCAATCCACTGACAGTATCAGCCCCGTACTCCGACATCAGTACCGGCTTGTTGTACTTTAGATGCCAGTTGAAGCTCTCGTTGTACACCTTCGACGCGATCTGGTTGATGACGCCGGTGTCTTGGTACCAGCCGTTGTAGCGGTTGAAGCTGATTATGTCCATGTGTTCGCCCTGAAATGAAAGAATTGATTGAAAATGTAATAGGGTAATTATATAATACTTTGAATCGAAATCAAAAATCATTTATTCAGTCAAGGCTGTAACAAGAACTTGTGAAGGTCGAGAAGCTATGTAATCGGTTCTCATAACTATGGCGGGAGACCTTGTACTGAGAAGAACCGGCAAGAAACTCAGCACGGGCTGTTTTTTTTGCCCATGTATATTCTACCTACTAATATCCTACTATCCTATCCACATAATACAGAAAGAAGTTTCTGTATTCTGCAATCCTATCCTACTTCCTACTAATATTATAAATGCGAAAGATTGTTGGTTTGTTACTCAATCACTCAAAAACGGCTGAACAGATTTGGATGCAATTTGACAGAGGTATAGTTCATTAACTAGATTGAGATAGAGGCATAGGACACATTTTAACCCGAAAAATTTTAGATTCCTGAAGTATTCTCAAAAAACTAAAGTTAAAGCGGACGATAGCGCGAGCGTAAGCTATGTAATCATCACTGTAACATAATATCTGAAGTACTTCGGTTATTGATGTGTAACATCTTTCCTCTCGTTTTCCTACAATTTTTGGGAGTGATTTCGTGAAATGGGACGGAAGTGTGTAACAGGAAGTCGCGGAAGCGCGCGCTATTTGATTGATTTTAGAATATAATGTTCAAATCGCTTATTCCTTTTGTAGTAGGTTTTATTCCTTTTTTACTAATATAAGTTGAGATTTCAAATGTTACACACCATACGCGACTACTGTAAGGCTCGCTCGTCTTTTTATATTTAGAAACAATACTTTAACAAAGGCTATTTCAAACTAAACATCATACTACCATAGAATTTCAGGCAATCAACATTAGCAATAATATTCAACCACAATGCATGAGTTGAAAGACACTTAAGAAAATGTAATTAACTTACAATGACGTCCCTTGGATCCGCAAGTGCAAAGGTGACTGCTCTTGAAAGATCTGCGTCCTTGACATGCTGCACAATTTTACTGAAAAAAATAAAGGGACAGAACTGCTTAATATTGTTTACTTCAGTTTAACTACACAGAGCGTGATAAGCCTAACTCATTAACAGTTCCGGTCTTGACTAGGATTTCCGTGCGTATAAATTAGTAAGTTGTAGGTATTCAACGAATTAGATGGTAGTATTGCGGGAAATGATTTATTACCGCAACAAGTTTATTAGGTTAGAATTTCAAAGTAAGTGGGTATATATTTTTGGCATGTGCAAAGGTATAAAGCAATCCAGTATTGTTGTTTAACAGCTACTTTTTTCACCGGCATAAAAAACGGAAGAAGTTGACGCGTATATTTCTTTTTATGTATGACTACGCATAGGGTTACTATTTAAAGATTTTAAAAGTCCTGAACAAAAAGCAGGACATTTCGATAAAAGTCCGGACATTTTGGTCACAAAATGCAAACATCACCTACTTAGTTACAGTGATATTATACGTGTGGGTGGTAGTAGACGCTCGCATCGCGAGGGGGGTCACGTTTTTGATTTTTGAACATGATTTATATTTTGTTTTAAATAAATGAGAACTTAATAAAGATTATTTGATTTATTTGATTTAACTTAATAAATAGTTTTACTCATACTCCAGTAAATTAAAAAATCCGGACAAATTAAAAAGCCGGACAAAGTTCGGACAACAGGCAAAAAGTCCGGACCAATCGGACGGATGGTAACCCTAACCACGCATAACTTGTACATTGTAGTCAGATTTTGATATTATAGAGATATACCCCGAAGTTGGTCCCATATGAATTTGAATAAAAATCCAAACCTAAGGGTATGAAAACACCTCTGTTTTGTTAGCTCACTGATTGTAATTTATGACCACACATAACTTTTTTCAGAGTACTCTGATTTTGATAATTCTTTTTTATTTTAAAGGGTTATACTATATAGTTATGATTATATATTTATTTTTTAAGCATTTAACTGCTAGATGTTTAAATCTAAAGAAAAGTTTTACTAGAAAAAAAAATCCACGCGGACCAGGCCGCGGACGGGACTCGAACCCGCATCCTTCGCTATCCGGGCGAATGCACTGACCATTATGCTACCACGGCCCTATTAGCCGCGTTGAAATTTTCCTAGCCTTAAGCTGCAAGGCAGCGCCATCTCTTCGCATTGTAGGTAACCCACAATGTCAAATAAATACTTTTTCAAGTATTAAACATTTGAAAGAAGAAATAGCAATTATAGTTATGATGTTATTTATTTTTTAAGCATTTAACTGCTAGATGTTTAAATCTATTTTCTATTTTTTTAAATCTGTTTTTTTTTCTAGTAAAACTTTTCTTTAGGTATACTATATAATTTAGAAAGAAAAATCCCCCCTTAAGCTTGGAAAAATAGGGGTGAACTCACAGATTTTGATGCCGAGCTGTATATTACAAAAAATATATATAAATTATAAAATAAGAACTTTTCAACAAAAAAATTAAACCACCGAAAAGTAAAAATAATAAACATCTTTAGTCAAATTAATATTAGCCATATGCATGTCTGATCTCCTGAGTACCCACGTTCCCAGACAGAGCTGCAAAGATATAAATACACTTTTGAAAATGAAGTTTTCTCGCACAACATCTTCGCAAATTGCGTGATGTGTGTGGCCGTAGCATTATAGGTATAGGTGTGATCTAGTCTAGAAATTGTAATAAGTATTAGAGTCTATAGCGATACAAGTGATATGTGCCCTACAAGATGTACACACAAACCTGTAATAAAGGTGGCACATCTTATCGCCGCCGCAGGCCTGGGGCTCGTTGGCGACCGACCACATGATTACGCTCGGGTGGTTGCGATCCCGGCGGATCATCTCCGTTAACGATTGCTTATGTTTAGCCAACAATTCTTCAGTGTAGAAACTAAAACATTCATATTTGAAATTTTAAGAAAAGATGCATTAAACTGTACATTAATAAAATTAAAGAAAATTTCACTAGAAAAATCTACACGGCCTAGACTTTACTTTAGGCTGGATTGGAAACAACGTTTTGTTATCCGAACCGACTGACGTTTTGAATGAATTTCTTCTAGTAGGGATTATCTTTTGGTTGCGAGGCAGTACCATTTCTTCACATTGCAGGCAACATAGAAACTTTTCTGTTCCGTGGCAGGCAAGTATGATTGCCTGCAAAAAACCCTGGTTCGAATCGAGCCTGACACAGTGAAGTGGAATTTATTACAGTAACATTTTCGCTTTCACACTATCTAGTTAGCTAGCTTTATACAACAACTAACCCTAATTAGCCTTTGATTTGCATTTAAATAGATACTGTATTACAGATATAATAAAAGGTTTTTTCAGTAATCAAAATACCAATAACTACATACTAATAGCTATTAAATTAAATTGCAGAAAAAATTATATTAACTCTTGGATTGAATTTCTTTCGTATACTTACTTAGCATTGACGCTTGGGCATTCGTCAATGATCATGATGCCCAGCTCGTCAGCCAGCTGGTAAATTTCTTCAGCATACGGGTAGTGAGACGTACGGAAAGCATTAGCACCGATCCATTTAATCAAATTGAAGTTCCTGACCCATAATACTGGGTCCCAGCCCTTACCGCGGAACTGTTTGAAAAAAAAAACATGAAATTACTTTGATGATTAAAGGTCATTTAACGATTTAGGATTCCTAAATTACCTTTTTTTAACATTTAAGTACATTTGTGAAATTCTCTACTATATACTTATCCATAAATAATAAAAATACTATCTTACATCTGAGTCCTCATGCATGCCAAAACCTCGTAAGTACAATGGTTGATTGTTCATATACAACGCAGTTTTGGTCCAGTTCAACACCCGAATTCCAATCCTTTCGTTATATGTATCCAAGCAGCTACCGTCACTTCCAATTAAAGTCACCTAAAAGCAAATTTCAGAATGATCCTCGATCTTTTTTGAAACCCACTATGAAATAAGCACTGGTTGGGACCTTCATCCCTTCAACCTCTCCATATACCCTTATCCTCGGAAAAATAAAGACAGCTTAATTATTTCAAATACCTTTAACGTATACAAATATCCTGGATTTGTGTGCATTAAATACGGCCACCAGAGGTTGGCGTTTGCAATATCGATAAGGCCGGTGCAGGCTTGCAGCGCCCCTACTTTTGTCTCATTCATGTCGAAGATTTCCACGAGACAATTCACGTCTTCGGTAGCACCCTTGTATGTAATGTTGTAAGTCACCAGACCTGATTTATCAAAGAAATTATAATTTGTTAAAAGCCTGGATATTGGTGTCGATTCTGGCGTGATTCTCTAAACTTAAAACTAAATTTAACATCAGTCTCTCCTTTTCATTCTGTATAGAGAATGACAGGGATGCACTGTTGTCAAATTTAAGTTTTGCTTTAGAGAATCATGCCAGAATCAACATCATTGTTTATGTAAAAAGTTCCTAGAGAATTAATGAACACAATGTGTTACCTGTGTAACCTTGAACATCAGTTTGCGTGACTATATCTTCAATGTATACTTGAGGAGTGGAATACAGGTAAACTGTGCGGTGAATTCCTGCGTAATTGAAGAAGTCATACCTAAAAAAATCATGTTATATTCATGAAGAGTGACCGTATAAAACGATGCAATGTCGGTTAACATATTTATTAAAACTTGAGCGTAGTTATTCCTAATAGTAATGGTTCTTACCCGTTTTCTTGCGGAACAGTGTTCCTAGTCAGCATATTATCCACTACGACCGTTAGTAAGTTGCTGCAATTATAACTAACAAAGTCTGTGATCTCTACCTCAAAGGGCAGATGCCCAATTTCATGGGAGGTAGCTTCTTTGCCATTAACAAACTGAAAGCAAATAGAACAATTATTTATGTAACTTCCATAAAATTGATTGGATATATTTTTGAGAGAAATATGTATGAGTGGTAGTTTTTTGTTATAATATTTGAGAGGCGAAGTTTTAGATTCCATTGTACCATTAATACTTTAAGTTGGTGATCCTTCTACTTGTATAATAAAATTTCTCTCATTTGTAAGCTACCCTCAATTTTGATGAACATTTGGCTGTCAGTCAAATTATCTACATTATTCAGTTTGTATAATAGGTAATATGGTCGTCCTATAGTTAGTAAGATTACCCAGACTCCACGGGGAACAGACGCGGGTGCGGCATTGTGTATTTTATATTTTAGCGTAGCTTTGTGTATTTCACTTTACCCGTCTTAAGTAATACTATTGTTGTTTCAAATTTCAAAGGTAAAAAATTGTTGACTATTTATTTATTTGAAAGAACAAGAATTTGTTAATCCTTTGAGTGAGTTAAAATAGCATCGTTCCTTCCTAATAAATGAAACAAGCGTAGAATATTTCTTATTTAAATAATATACCTACTTTAATAGGAATCACTTGACCAAATAGACTAAACTATAAATAGTTTTGAAATATACAATTAGAATTCTAAATCAGGTGAAGCGGTTTCAACTATGCAAATTTTTTATTCAAACAAGTAATGCGGAATGAATCGTTTTACTTAACAATCGACTTTTTGAGACAATTTAGTTTGATTAATATTTAATAACTAATTGTCATTGCATTAAAACAATACCTAGTTGTAAACAAAACGTAATAGATATAAACAACATTGTTTTTCTCCGTAACCTATGATCTTATGCAAGTGGCAACATTGGGTAATGTAGAGAGGTCAGTGCTTCTTGCCCCTTGTTGCAATTGCCGAGAGGTGCCGAGACCTGACGCACAGTATGAATTGTATTTAGTTGACTGCTTTTATTAATTTACACTGAAACTCGATAATGATACCAGACATGTGCCCACAAATAAGAGGATGGAAAGATACGCATTCAAACTAAAATTAAACGGAATTGGTTGTAAACGGTCATTGTTTTCTTTGATTTCCGATTATCACAAATTTATCACACACACATTATCGCATATATGATGAATGGAATGCTCAAATTTATACGAATAAAATGTATGTGCCTATTTGCCATTTCGCCGTATCGAGTGCGATATAAACTTATCGAGAGTCCATAAGATCAAACTGTTTACAGGCTCTGTTGTAGGTACAGTGTTCAATATTCAATGCTGATAACTTCGGTATACCTACATATTTTATAATTTCCATTTCACCGGGTAGTTTAAATTCTGAAATGGTAATCGACGTAACTTATTTGCATTTCCTTTTTACGTTACGTATTATAGTATAGTTTGATTCGAAGTCACGCGTCACTGTCCGATGCGCGATGCGCCGTAACATCGAGTGTGTGACACACACCCACCGTTGCGAATCCACGGTAGCATCTTCAATTGCTTTATCATAATCAAGCAATTGCCTAGCGACAGATCTGAGTGACTGGGGCACAGATGTCGTGAGATCGACGCCCTTTTCTGTCACGACTATCGTGTATTATCAAGAGGAGATGCTGACATAATAAAATTGCGTTTTTATATGTAATCATATTCATGTTAGCACAGATGTAAGTTTTAGCTAGATTTCAAAAGAATCCCTAATCAGTACTTTTCTGACTCTTTATCCTAAACATGAGTAATTGAGGCAGTACACTTCCGGATCCTTGTTCTTAAACAACGGGGGAAAAACCACCGGGTTATGTTTTTCGTTATGATTTACAGCGTTTAATATATCGCTTATAAACAGATATGATATGTTTATTTTAGTTTCTTCAAATTTATTCTATTTAATAAAATTAGGAAATAAATTCGTGCAATATTTCAAAAAAAAAGGTAAAGTTTTACCAACGTACATAAAGTAAACAAATTGTTAGTCGGTAGTTTTATTGCAACTTCTCAGGCTTACAATATACATATTTGTAATTTTGTTGTACTTACTTCAATAAATCATATAATATTTGCCAAATGGAAAACAGGAAATTTTTTTTTATGCCGTTAAGCCTTTGGCTTCAGTTAAGTACATCTGAAGTATAATAGTGGTTTTGTACATGATTTATTTTCCTAATCATCTACAACGAAAACAAATAGCTTATTGCCTTAATATAACAATGTTTTTTTGCACAAGTTTGCTGCTGCTCTTCTATTGGGAGAACGTTTAGTTTCTGTATTTCTGTCAGTATGTGTTGTTTAAATACAGCATATGGGATATCATATAAGTACCAGAATTATATATCCCTAATTAGTTTTGATTTTGAGAAAGACCCCGTAACAAAAATGGTTTTAATAATGACAACTTTGACAGCCCCCAATAACTTTGTTGAAGAGAACAAAAAATTATATTTATATTATATATCCTTTTCAACGAACTCTAGACAACGACGTGTCACATGCTGGGGTAAAAAAAATATTATAAAACTTTTTATGTAGCAATTTTATGGGGGGCCATGAAATTAAATATTCGGCTTTGGGCAAGCATTCTACATAAAATATCAAAATTTCAGTTCTGTAACTAATTCTGTTTACGATCTAAACACTCGTGACATACGGACAGACGAACGCCAGACTGACAGTATTTGGGATCCATTTTGACTCTTTAGATACGGAACCCTAAAACGTGATTTCGGATAACACCGCTGCGGTGACCGGTGAACTATTTGCATGTAGCTGGTTATCTTAAAAACTTACCACTTTAGCACTGTACTGGACACTGCTGAACCTCAGCCAAACGCGTTGCTTGTTCTCCGCCCACCAGCGAGGTACGTAGAACCTTTTGTCGTACCAAACCACGCCCAAGTGGTCTCGCAACGCGGCGTCTGTGCCGACGTCGTTGTAAGATGAAGGCACAGGCATCGGGATTACTGCACCTGTCTTATTGAAAAGAGAAACATTTGTAGTAGTAGAAGTTAGTTATAAATTTTAGTTTAAACTATCTACGTACACACTATTTTTCTTTGTGATAAAAAGGACTTCTTTGATCTATGAAGACAGAAATGAAATAATCGAGCGGCTTTGTTTTGTGATTTGAATCAGAACGTGTGTTGTTGTGTTAAAGAGGTTTTACAGATTGGGGAAAAAATTAATACAGACCAGAGTACATAGTTTGTTATCATTTTGTTCGTATTTAGTCGGATTTCAATTCGCCGGAATACAATTATCAAGAAAAAAGCTTACATTAATGTGTAGAACTTCGTATTAGTTTAAAGTCTATTATATGCTTCTTGGACGTGAACTCATTCTTATACAAGCGTAATAACCCCTCGTTCTATGCAAATATTAATACTTATTAGCGTTTGTTTATCGTAAAGTTAATTGAATTAATAACGTGTTTATCACTTGTGTATAGCTACAGATTGTGTTAGTAATTTGCAATTCATGAGAAAAGAAAGAGCCAGTTTTAGTATGTATTACTAATTTGAAAACCTGATCTGTTGAAAAGATCAAATCTAATTTTAGGTTTACATTATATTAGCCCAAAGTCATTGCTCCTAGAATAAATAGAATATCTAGTTAAAAATAAAGTCAATGTAAATAAATACCTTTGACAGGTCTTGCTCTTGCCATCCATTCAAATATCCGTACAGAGGGTTCGGTGGGGATTTTCTGAAATTCCATATTCCATTTAAATTTCTTAAGTCTCTAGTCTCTGTAGCCCTAGGGTAGAGCGATCCGCCGGTGTTCCTGACAGCTCGTTTTAATACTTGTGAGATCCCGTTATCATCAGTCGACACCGGAACTATGGCACTTGAGATAGAAATTACTGTTCCGAAGAGGAGTAGGAGTCCTGGTCTTCTTAGCAGCATTGTCTATAATGAAACATATAGGTATTGGTTATTATGATAGTTTTATTAAACTTACTACTAAAATCGTAATGTTAAAATTAACTTAAATGCATTAATCGGATTTGTTTGAAATCGATTGCTCATCACTAAAATAGTGGTGCGTAGCCTGAAAAGTAGCCGAAACGTCAAGTATTATGTAAAAAAACCGGCCAAGTGAGAGTCGACCCCGCGCACGAGGGGTTCCGTACAACAAACCGCAAAAGGAAAACTCATTTGCTTGTTTTCGTTACAACTTACAAAATACATTATGAATCCTGGTTTTCAGAATTTGTTGTTCAAATACAGCATATGGAACATCATATACCAAAAGGACAATGTTAAAATTGGCCTAAGAACCAACACCAATTTGGCATTTATGATAATTCTTAGTATATTTTTTGCGATAATTATCAATATTTAGATTGTGACGGACACTTTCAGTTAAGTAAGCTAAATTAAAAAGTTAATAAATAATCTGAGACAATAAATACCATTTTATGTGTATAATCTATGACAGCGCTGCAAACAAAAAACACTTTCTTCCTCATGCCGGCACTTCACTTGTCTATTCGTATTTGCTATTTAAAAACATGACATCAGTCTGTCCTTTTCATTCCTTATTAAGCATGACAAGGACAAACTGTTGTCAAGTGAAGGGCCGGCATAAACTCGATACTCTGTGGTTGCGGTGCAGGCAGTTTGCATTCGTAGTAATCTGTGACATTCGTGCATTCTCGTCAATGAGTACTTTTTATATACGGAAAATTCTCGTTCGGATTACCAGTTGTGTGTGTTTATTTGCGATTGTTTTTCCTTTAATTTAACTATTACTATTTCGGCTTTCTAATATGCCATCGATGTTACCAAAGTGCAGAGACCTTATAACCAAGTGATAGTGAACTTGTGCCCAACATCCTGAGAGGTTCATACTGCCAAATTATTCAAGAGCACCTGATACACATTCACGCTGCATATTTACACAATATACCTACATGTGTTAAACAAATAAATACAATATGATACAATTTTGTGAAAAATAGTCAATGAATAATAAGAAGCAAAACCATTGTTTTTATTTTATTCATGATTCCTACCTAAACAAGTTTTTCCTAATGGAGGCCATACACATTAGGTTTTGCATGATGGTTTTAGCTGAACATGCATAACCGACAGGCAAGCCCTTACGTGTATGTGAATTAGTTGTAATATTAATTCACTTATTACTGAGTTCATACTAAGTTCATAGGATGACCTATGTTTCATTGAATATTAAACATAACCTCAAAAAAAAATTAGTTTTTCTAATAATTTAAGTTCTCGGAAGTGTCCGTCAATAATCTTTGTTTTTACAGTCATTTACTTGCGATTTCGAACCTAGAACATAATATTTCATGATTGTTGGTTCTTAGGCGAACTATGTATGGACACAAAACAATGTCCTTTTGCATTTCTAACTAGTTACGATTTTGAGAAAACAAAATGGTCTAAAAATGACAACTATGGCGGACCCCATTTCTTTGTTTTGGAAAATAAAAAATAATAAAAATTACATTTTTATTCTACTTTAAGAGTTCTAGACAATGATATGTCACATGTTGGGGTAAAAAAGAAAAAATATTTTATCGTCTCCTTTTCATGTATGGAACCCCAACAAAAAAATAATTTAATTGAATTTTTAAATTAACATTCGGCTTTGGGCACGCATTCGATATAAAATACTAAAATTTCAGTTCTGTAACTTATTCCGTTTACGATCTAGAGACCCGTGAAATACGGACAGACCGACAGACGACAGAGTGACAGCAATATGGTTAAATTTTTAGCCTTTCAGTACGGAACCCTAAAAATCATTGCTAAATCGCGCTCGGTACCTGATTAAGTTTTGTTTGTTATTTGTTCTTAGGTTTTCACGCACACAACTCATTAAATAAAACAAGTTTCAACGGTATAGATGCACTGATTTATTTATTTATGACGTTTTGCATCCTTTTCAGGCTGCGTCGTCAGAATTAATCTAAACATAATATGAACCGAAGACTATTTTAAAAGTTATTATTGATTGTTTCATGTATTTTTAAGGCACACCAGCAAACATTTAACAAAACTTAATGGAACAAGTTTCAACTGTGTAGATGCACTGATTTATTTATTTGATTATTTATCGGATGCGAAACGTCAGAATTTATTCTGACGATGCAGTCTGAAAAGGATGCAAAACATCAAATTAATTCTGAATTAATACTAAAACGATGCAGACGTGACGTAACGACGCAACCTGAAAAGGATGGTAAGGTCATCCATTTTCAGGCTACGTCGGTACGTCACGTCTGCGTCGTTTCAGAATTAATTCTGACGGCGCAGCCTGAAAAGGATGCGAAACGTCATAAATAAATAAATTAGTGCATCTATACCGTTGAAACTTGTTCTATTAAGTTTTTTAAATCGTCGTCAGAATGAATTCTGAAAAATTCATAATTATTATGTATTATGTTTTATTTTGCTTCCAATGTAGCAAGAGAGACTTAATATTTGTACGAAACTTTGCATCAGTCTGCTATCGCTGCCTACAATTAAACAATCACGACAACTCATTTGCAACGAGGAAACGGGGCAACACTAAATTATGTACCTATGCACCGATTGTCGTGGTGCTGTTAACACATTAAATGACTTATTCATACGAGTGAAACCTATTTGAGATGCAGAGAAGGCGGACCTGGAGGACATCGCATGTGCCTATAATATTGTATAATTGAGTGCACTCCTTCTAATCTTGCATAACTAGACTGAGAAAGCATCGATTAACAAATTTTTTCTCCATTGCATTAAAAAGTTAAGTGGATCAACGCTAATTTTAATTGTAACGCCTCTGTGACGTACAGTAGCGTGTAGGTAAGAAGCTTTGTTTACTTGAGATCTGGTAACTTTTTGACACTGGGAGCCATATGGTCTCGTCTTGACAACATCTAACATGAAAGTATTTTGGTGGTTTATTACTGGAGCCTTCAGAACAAGCCGGATTCCGGAAAGGCATCAGCACCATGGACCACACGCTACGGCAGGTTATACAAAAGACCAAAGAATATAACCTGCCACTATGCGTTACTGAGATATTAAGGGATGAAATTGTTTGGCGAATACCTGGCAACCAGTTAACCCTGTTTTGTAATTTCATTCTCTCTACATCTATTATCCTGATAAACTATTGAACTTTTTTGTATTTGTGTTATTGCGGTTGTAAAATTAAGTTAAAAACTTTAAGATTATACTTATTCATCGGCTTTTAGGCGGCACGTAATTCGCCGGGTCAGCTAGTTTATAATAAATTTCAATTCAGCCGAATTACGTAGTAACTATTAAATAATCTGTGAGGTAAATACCAATATTAATTCAGCAGGATATACTTTAAAATCATACATAAATATAGAAATAACATAGATATAGAATCATGTCTATGTGATGTTGCAACTATATGCAATATTTAAAATATTTCTCACATTTTTTTTAAAAATCTTATTCATTGAATGAAACGACCTTGTCGACTGACGCCTAGCAGTTGGTAGGGTTTAAATTTTTTTCATGGTTCAGGATACTATACCGTCACGAGATGGTTTTTTATAACTGATTTGTTTTTGTAACTAGCGGAACCATGTTAATTAAGAAACAGAACTAGCGATTCGCAAATCTTACGAAGAACCTTAATCTAACAAAAGATTTGTACAGTTATTTAAACGTTTTTTTTAAAACGAACAAGGGATACTTATAATTTTAGTTAAATTGTAACGTAATTTTGTATGATTGATAATTAAGAACGACACAACGTGAATCGATCCGTATATGTAATTTACTTATATACTAACTCTATTAAAGAAAGTGTTTACACGTCGATACCTTAACCGCTCTACCATGTCCGAATGCAAGTGAAAGAATATTAACCACATATGTATATCGTACTTGGTTTGTAGGGGAAATGAAGCACTAACATAGTTAATAGTGACATGTACTTTTATACGTGAAGGATAGGGGGTTATACTACTTACAGGGGCGTCTTTCCCAAAGAAGCACTGGGTGCGGCCGCACCCGGTCGCCGGGCCCTAAGGGGCGCCAGCCGGGCCGGGCGATCAACATCTGAATGAATCTGGTGGGAGATAGTACCTACCTACCTACTTACCTTACCCAACTATAATTTTATAAATATTAATTTAAATAAATGTTTTAAAACAAAATTGAAACTTACGATTTAAATACATACAGTCAGTTTTAATGATTGTTTACGTTTTTCTAGTCAACTTGGTCAAACTATAATACAGAAATACGTATGCTTGCTTATTTATGTTATTTATTTCTTCTATATTTTTGTAGCATTCTTTACAATGAAAAAATATTTTGTCAATTTTTTTGAAAAAGCGGTTGCAATTTTGGCTTTCGCACCCGGGCGCCGCATATGGTTAAGACGCCCCTGACTACTTAACGGAGTTAACGCGATTTCATACGTTAATCCGCATTTTAATAAGCTTCAGATACATTAATAATTATAATTAGGTATATTATAATAAATCTCTATCTATCTGCTAGCACCGGATCCGGTCTTCGGATCCGCTATATTGATACCGGATCCGGTAACCGTCAAATGATGCCGGATCCGCCGGATTACCGGATCCGTTTTCCCGGATTGCAATCCCTAATTAAGCCTAAGATGTTTTCCTGAAACAATCGTGAGTTGGTATATACTTTATATGCTTCGAAAGTGAGTAAGCCCACTATTACTAATTATTGTACCGAATGTTTTTCTTGTTTAACCTCTTCTCACTCGAAGGTCACCACCTTCGATAGCGGTTGACTTGGTTGGACTTGGACTTGGACGATACCTATTAAGTATCGTATCACATCAATAAGATGGAAGATATCATCTTCATTGATCCCATATTTGAAATTGATGCTACTGCTGATCATTGGATGTGATGAAATCTAAATGGGGCGATTGA